CTTCATCGCAATAAGCAATAAATATTTACCGAATCGAACGATATATTATACGTTCCGCAACAAATTAATAACGGTCTGCGAATCATCGAAACGATATGCGTTGGGTTCCACTGAAATTAAGGTCGAAAAAAACGGAAATCAAATCATCCAGACGTTTGAATAAATATTTACGTTCCATTTATGAAAAACATAGATCTCGAACAAGTGTTCCTTATTTGCTACAGAGTAACGTTTTTTTATTCCGCATCATCGCTCTTGTATCGCTCGTACACATGGAAACCATTCCATTTCGAATCACAAGTGGTGTTGTTTAACTGAATTAATAAAATCAATACACCCGCAAACGATTCAATGCGTGGGATGATCCGATAGTTTCTAATTCTAATCTAATTGTACTGTTTTTACTTGTGGATTATTTACTGTTTCACGATTAAAATACGAATCGCCCTGTATAGAAGTATAATCGAAAATATTTGAACCAACCTCTTTAGATTCAGAAGTGCTGGGATAATAAATATGTACGGACGAAAAAACGATCGAGAACTCCAACCCAAAATAACCCGCTGCTGAAGCGGTGGAAATTAAATTTATTTTAAGTGATAGCGGCTCTTTAAATTGATGAAAAAAATGTGGGTATTATTAAAGGCTTCGTTGAATCGTTATTTCTATTTTCGATTTCCCTACAGGATTTACATATTATTACGAAGTAGGTATATCTACTTATTGAATATTACTTCCGCTCGGTACATTAATTAAACGGGTCAAGTTTCGATTCCATTAGAACGAAGAAGTTTAATGATCTTTTCGAGCTGATTGTTTAACTGTGCAAAAATAATTCGCGTAGGCAGTAAAATAAGCAATATTTACAAACGAATTTCCTCCAATTAACCGCTCTCTAAAATGTTATACTTGCGAGCGATAGATAATAAAATTAAAGAGTTGAGTAACTCTCGAAACTGATGTACCTATAGTTTCCTTCCACTTCTCCGCAGCGAAAACGCGAAGCCTCTTTGAAATCCGTATTCATGATTGATTGCTTCACGCGCAATTGAGAGCTGTTTTTAGACGAGCAAAACGAACAAATGGCTAGTGATGGTTTTGCCTTAACGCTCATGTCACACTTTTTATTAAACATCAATAGCACGTGAAATATGGACCGCGAGGAAACGTCAGTTTATGCACATTGCGCAAGTTTCTTATTCTACTCGCGTCAGTAGCGCTTCACGAACAAAAGCATAAAAATGATTTCGTAAGTTTTAGTAATCATCTTTCAAAAATTGACAACCGTACAAGGAGAAAACGGACACGCTGAAAGTCTGAAAGTATAAAGCACGCTTTCCGAGAAACATTCCTCTCCAGCTACACAGATTGCATCTAAGAAATGCACCATAAATAAAGTTTCCTGCTACCGCCGGTCGATGTGCCTGCGAAAATATGGCCGCCGGCTTAGATTGCAACACGATTGTCGCAAAACGTTGGCCTTTTTTATCTAAAATGTGTTTCACTCTTTAACCAAATGAATCCGAGGTGATTGTAGGCAAACTTTATAAATATTTGTGTTATCGTGCTAATTATAAGGGTTGTGTACGGCAGGATTTTTATCGTGCATTCGCATTTTTTCTTATCGAAACCTCATTCACTGTAATTTTCGATCGGCTTTTATCGCTTCGAAATTGCGCTCGCAACTCAACAAACATTTCAGATTTTTACCTCCGCTCGTCGCGAGCTAACTGTTCCACCGCTATAAGGGGGTTATTATTTTCGAATTTACTTGGGGTTTCATGCCTTCGTCGATTCCACCTATCAATTAATTCAACCTCTGCAACGCCTATCCGATTTCTGCGCGAGCAGAACCGAATATTATTTTAAAGGTGGTATCGGCCGGTGTTTTACGGTCCGTTGCGCGCATTCAGACCCATCTTCCGCTCGATGGTTTTCGAAAAAATTTATTTCTAATTTGCCGAGTGTGCACACGGTGCATGTGCATAATGGGATTGTGCTATTATCTGGCAAACAACAGTCGATTGAGCCACGAAAACGTTGCTAACTGGAATACTAATAAGAAAATTATGATAGAAAAGTTTTTTTTCTAAAATTGTAACACCCTGTAGTTCGAAAAGTATATAAACTTTCCGTCTTAAAATCATCCAAATATTCACATCCTGAAGTATCGGCACTCAATTAATTAACACCCTGTATGTAATAAATTGAGCTTTTGCAACTAATGTACCATCCTGTATATAAAGAAAAAAGTTATTAATAGTTTATAAATGAAGCATCTATTTAAAACAAAAGGGCCAATAAAATATCATAAGATGCACCTCAGGCGTAAAATCCAGTCATCCATATAGATCGATTCGATTTAATCTTCTATACAGGTATCATTCCAAATCTAGCGAGTCATAAGTAAAGTTGAAAAAAAATCGTGAAAAAAATCGTTAAGAGATATCTATTTTATTATTACTCGCATGCCGTGTTGCCTATTGTCTTCTTCGAAGGCAGTGCGTGAGATGTTATCCGGCTAATTACATCTCGTAATTTATTATATTCTTCTGTCCGGAGATAATTATTTCCATATTCATATTGCCGCCCGATAGAGAGAAAATTCTCGAATGCTACACGTTTTTAATCATTTGCATCGATATTTGGAATACCCAGTGATGTATTTATTCGTTATTAAATTGAATGTAGTTGTTTTTGCTCAGTAAAATGGCAATTTGAAAGTGCGTTCTTCGATCTTCCGGCGAAATTGTAGGCTAGAGAAATCCGGGAACCCCGAGGGCAAAGCGAACAAATCTGCATTTAATAATGCACAATTTTATTAAATAATGGGAGACTCTAATAGCGGTAGACAGTATCGTATGATACACAATAGGCTATACTATGTTTAGGAAGAATTATGGGCATATTTATATAGAAATTACATTGCATTTAACAAGTAGTTTCTTATTAAAGCGATGAATTTAAAAAAAAGCCATACAAATTCAGTAGACAGGTTTATTAATAAATCACAGTATGTAGACATAAATGTTTAGAATAAATAAACCAATCTCCAAGACCATTGATTATTTCTCTTTTTCGTTATTTTCGTTTTAATGCAAGTTGCTACTTGAAAGCCACGATCGGGCTCAGTAGGTAATGCTACTGCACTCTGCTTGATAGACATTTCAAATTCAACTCTTTTGATTGCAAGTCCATCATCTATTTTTAAAGCGAGCTTTTAAATTTTCGGTCTTCGTGAAATGTATGCACGTAACCGACGTATGCAACATACGAATATAAAAATTTATACGACTGGGAAACATAAAACGGTTATTGATTGACGGTGCAGATACGAAGAGATGGCGTTTTTATTTTTGTTTTGTTGTTGTAGAATTGAATTATCGTGTTTATTCAGTTAAAAATAGTGAATTTTGGTGAATATACGATATTCATGTGGATATAGTAGTGAATTTGTTCGAATTTATAAATAAGGTGTTTCTACGATGACTTTGAGTAACTTTCAATTGTACTTGTATTGTATTTGTATTCAATTGTACATTTCTGTATAAATTGAACAAGTTGAGAAAGTTGCAATCTGACTATGTTTTTCCTTTTTCATTTATAAATGTCTAATGGAAGTTGTCTTTATCGCATCTAATAGTTTACTATAGCTTTAACTTTTAAAGGCTATTCAGCCTTATAATCAAGAAATAAGAATTTTTAATCTAAATTATTCAAATTAAGAAGTTTTCTCAGAAATTTTACTATGTACTTTTTTAGGGGTCAACTGTACTCGCACTGTTAAATATATTTCAGATTGTAAAGGAATTTGATGATTAACCCTTTTGATAATGGTACCCTTCATTTTCAATTTGTTCTTGTCATGAATTTTAGAAAATTCTTAGCAACACGGCATACTTGTGACTTAGTAAATTTTAGTTGACGTGCATCGAACTTTGTTTTGCATAAACTGTAGGTACATTCCGGACCAATTTAGGTCAAATTTACAATCCCGGAAAGTCCTCGCACACTCAGCTCAACGCTACGAATTTCCATTCCGCGGCAACTTCGCCTCCAAACCGGTGAATCCCCAACCTTGCACCGTCCACCGCGATACCATCTTGACCTGTCCAACACCCATACGGCACGGAATATCGCTGCACATCCGACCTTCACCCCCAAAAATCAGAAACCACACAAAGCGGAGATCCAGCAGACCGCCGGCGAGCCAATCGAAGCGGGCCCAGAGCCTGAAATCCTGAAAACCGACACACGGACACGCCGAAACGCCGCTCGCGCTTCCGTGTCACAGCGCCCGCGTTGCCACATCCATTCAAATTTCCCTATAAGTCCGAAAATTAAATGCAAAAAAGCACTGGATGAAGATGAGCGATATGGGACCTTACAAATACAGGACACAAAAAATCGTTCAAAATATGTACAAAAATATAGAGTAATGTTTGAAAAAAGTTAAGTTGATGATGGTTCAGCAAAAACCGAAACGTCTGAGAAGAATAAAAACAATGCCAATCATTAAGCTTAAAGTTACTTTTAGTTGTTATCTAGTAACAAAATTAAAGCGACAAAAAATAAATCAAAAATTGAAAAATGCATTGTTTTTGTAAATAAATTAGAATAAAAAATGAATATTCAACAACTTAGCATCGTTTAATATATCTCTTACCGTTTCCCACATCTCCATTCTGTGTATCCTTAACAAGTTAATAAGTGTTTATAATTCACATTATAAAAATGATCCAAGGATCCTAAATATCCTTAAAACAACCCAACAAAATCCCTTTATAAACGTCCCTTAACAACCACATCTTTAGCAAATCGCCTGGAAATATACATACTAGAGCTAGGAGAATTATTGTTGAAATGAGTGCCGGAATTGTGTTTGGGGTTCCCGGGGCGGACGGGCGCACAAAGCCCCGCGTAATCCGGCGAAGCTCGGCGTCGACAACGCCGCATTTTCAGCTTTTAATGCACGCGGACGGCTTCGAGGAGTTTCAGTCGTACCGACAGCTTGGCGACGAGTTGACCATGCCCATCGACGAGGGATAGTGACGTTCAAAGCACGTGCTTCGGATATGTTTTGACGCGCGGGAATCGAAAACATGACGGACTCGCTTCACTGCTAACTGACCCCCAGCTCCCCACTAACATATACGCGTTCATTAATTAGTATTTGCGATAAGTAGATTAGAAATTTTTGTGACGAATTTTTTGTAGTATTTTTAATTCGATAACATGCCGTGGATAAAGTCTTGTTTGTGCCATCAGGAAAAGAAAAAATCGCCTACGATTAGCCCTCCTATACATTTGCTACTAAAGGTAAGAATTTTTGTCTAAAAAAATTTGTATATCAACATTTTTCGTATGCAGCGAGTGTGTGTTGATTTATTATCGGTTACTTCATCGAAATCTCTTTGGTATTCTGCTCGGCGATCACCTTACAACAGCAGATACGCTGCATATTTACGTTAGTCGAAGCGATTTTTTTGTTTAAACTAGAAAATAGAACACAGGAGAAATTATGGAGATAAAATGTATATGTCCGATGTGGTGATAAGCGGGTGATATATGGCGTTCATTTTAAAATATAATTAAAAACGAGGTAAATATTCGTACTGTAAATAACTCACTTCGTCCCCAAATTGTAAGGTATCATTTAGACTGAACGTGAATTCTATACGATGTTTCATTGTAAATCAATTTTATCGCGGTCAGAAAAAGGAGTTTCCTTTCGAATTTTTTATAGCCTAATTCAGAAATAGATATTTCCCTAGGGTTCTTTGCAAAAAATATTTGCAAACCAACTTATCTCGGTATTTGCATTGTTTTTTGTGTAGAGTCAAATTTGCAAATCTACTCGCATTGTATGTATAGGGATTAAAAATGTTCTGCCTCAAAAATTCCACACAAAAGCAAATTTAATACGGCAATAATTTATTAATTAAACATTCATAAAACCGCATAAATAATGAAAATTTATTGAAAATTCATACATCTGATTAATTGGCTGCAACATTCATGATAAAATTGTATTTATCGGCAATAAATATTTTATATCGACGCAATTATTAATCTTTTGTGTCGTGTATTCCTATTAAACTCGATTTTGTCACAGCATTAATGAGTGAATTTATAATGTTAAAAATTTAACGATAACAATGATGCATGAGAACAGAAACCGAGAACAAGATAAGAATTAATTATTATGATTTATTACAATGCCTTCCTGACGGGCAGAATTAATTCGTTTAGTGGCTCGGATGAAAAGGATTTCGGACGTACGTTTGCGTCATTAATAATTTCCAGAAAACAACTTAGTTTTATACGCATTGATTCACTCCAGGAACCTCTTTAATTCTCTCCATTTTTCATACTAAACTCGAAAATCAGACTGTTCTATAATAAACTTTCTTAAACATTATTATTCATAATCTAAAAAAGGGAAAAAACAAATTGTATGATATAAACGTGTATCTATTGTTAAGTGAATTAGTAGTTTTTATAATTAAATTATCGTTAGATTATCTTTAGGGTATTATCCGGTTGAAATGCACACTAAAGTTTTACTACAGTTATAAACAAACCCCAAATTTTTTACAACTCTCTGTTGTCCTCCAGCAACCCAATTGTAACTGTAATAAAACTTTTCCCTCCTGCCACACAGTCTACCTTCGAGAGATAGAATTTTCCAGATAAGTTTATTTTTGGCAGATGAATAGACTCTTTCTGTCCTAATTAACTTCACCTCCTTTATCCAGTTGGATCCGATTGCGAGTCAATAAAAAAACTGGAACGCAGGAAGTATAAGATTTTATTTTATTAGACCTAAAGGGCTTAAGGCAATCGATCAAATCGAAGTTAACCTTGTCATATATGACAATTATTATTGTTGTAGTGTGATAGATGGAGGGTAAAAAAATTAAGACCTGGAATTGATGGGCTTTTTTTATGTGTTTATCCCTAGTTTATAGGTAAATTTATTATGACATTTATCTGTTTTGTTATAGTTACTACTATTTTTTTATTGTTTGTTATAGTACCTATTATAATAATTTTACATACCTATTCTCTTATAGTGCAGTCAAATTATCTTTTTTATATCAATCACAAGTGATAATAATTGCATTTGCTCGGGTAATATTTCTTATACTACTTATAGTTAAAAAATAATTTAAAAAATAATATATCACCATTTGACATGCGAGGTCAGTTACCTTTTTCTAATAGTATATTTTTGAATATTGGATTAATAACCCACCCGCTGCGTGCTATTTAATGCCTAATTGCTCTCAGCAATTAGCGCTTTTCATGAAAAACGGATCGATTAATTTCTAGTTTCTCACGTATAGAACAATGCATCTATTGTGTATAATTTACGATAACAGAATTGGCCTCAAGTGCAGCGTGCGTTAAAGCCAGAATTTATAACCAAATTAGATTTATAAAAAAAATAATGTTCCCTCTCTACAACTCAATGTGTTAATAAAATTACGCTTATCGGGAATTGTCGTATACGCCTTTTGTCGAAGTACTCGAGACGTGTAGACACTCTATTCCTAATACTCGAAGTAAAACTGTCGACTGTTATTAAAGCGCTTTATAATTAAAGCCCGAGAGTAAAAAAGGCCCTCGATTTACATCTCCTTGGTGGTCTTTCGCTCAAAGCAAACTCAACATTGGATGGACACGATGGTGCATGTAGATCCGTTTTAGATAAGACATAACGGTTGAAAATCATACAAATTTTTGGAATAGATAATGTCTCATTGAATTAATTTCTTCATGCAGTCAAAAGTATTATCGCCAAAACATATGTATAACTGAGCTATATTAAGACTTGTAATTTTTAAATACCACAGCAATTGAAACATCAAACTGCATACAGTTATAATCACCGGTACATTTTTGTCGCCTGTGATGAGAATATTAATAAATTAATGCTAATCTATTTATTAAAAAGCAAATTGAAATGAGATTGTGTAATGCATCTTTCGATAAAGCAAAACGCCTGCCCATACTAATTCATGGTAAAACTGTAGTTTCTATCGACACGCGTTGAAATTTTTCTAACTGTATATTTGCATTTGTATTTCCTACGTACTGGCATTAATTTTAGCCGGACGGAATATTAATTGTCTTGTTATCTACTCACCCAGTTTGCTTTATTTGGTAAAAAGCGTCTTGGAGAACGTGGAAAACGAGGCAATATTTACGACCAGATGCAAATTCTCTAAGCAAACAAATTTTACATGCGAACTAATATAATATTTAAACACGTAATGTAACACTCTCGTTTTATTACATTGAGAAACGTGTACTGATTTTATTAATGATATTACAGATATTTTTTAAACTTTTAAAATAGAATCTTTATTATCAACTATAGCCGTATTCGCGTTTAATGAATTTTTTTCTTCCAACGGTAAAGCAATAACGCGTTTCCAGTAAAAGTCTGTCTTCGTTCAATTTACTTTGTTTATTTGTGATGATAAAACGGCCCATAAACACGGCAATTATCATCGTTCGAGTTTAATAACAAACTCAATTAGAAGTACAGGACCATTAAAAAGCGGAATGTTTGTGTACATCGCGCATCGGACAGTTAATTCAAACGGTCTCGAACTAAATAATCTAAATACTAAAATTAAATGAGCGATGATGACAGTTTGGAAGTCCGCGCGTAGAAAGAAAGCTTCGCCCACGCGGTTTTCTTCGTTATAGTCCGGGTACTGAATTTATTCGTTCGTAAATTTATTTCTTGAAGTCCGACGATTCATTGGATGGTCATTATTTAATCTTATGTAAACACTGATGTGTTTTGATGATATTTTTGTTAGATATAGAAACAAATAAATTCAAGCTCCAGTAGCAAACGAGACTTCGAGTCAAAATCACTCAGTATATCGGATCTAATAATTGATAAATTGTAAAAGTGAATGGCAAGCAATTTAATAACCCCCTTTCTTTTTGTTAATGATGCTGGAGTAACATTTTGTATCTGACCTATGGAATTAACCAGTTTATTTATTACCGACATTACGAGTGTATTGAACTATACATATCACAATTAAAAAATATATAAATTGCAATTAATAATTAAGACCAGAAAAATATTTCTACGAAACATTTATGTCGACGATTAAATTTCTATGAAGATGCTCATGCGAAAAAAACGTAGGTAAGTACCTATTAAAATCAGTGTTAGTTTTGATTCAAACAAAAACAAATACGTAGGTACATAAGTAATGAAATTAATTGCGCCTTACATTCACTCTAATCTACCTTTTAATATCACATCTAAATACGTTTAATTATTTTATTATTAGCATAACGGCTTTAAATCAAATAAGAAAGCCTTCAAATCCTTCAACAACGGGTTTCTCTCGAACAACGCGCATATAAACGCTCTTATCAAATACAATAACGAGTTACTTCCTAAAAAGAGATGTTTTTTAAGTTAGAGATTACCATTATCGATAAGCCAGCGTAATCCTTATAGCATTTATACGATTCTTTGAATGTAAAAGCAGCTTTACGTCAGGCTACATTGCGGCACTCCCAAAATGTTTGAGCTTTGTGCGGCTTTTATCAATTCGACCTGCTCTATATGCATATGCAGTGACACAACATATTTATATGAGGCAATTTACCAGTCGGGACTTGTTGCGATTTTTTTCCATACATTCGCCTTGTGTCTGTACCTTTCTTCATACGACATCGACAGTTAAATATAACCCTTTCAACACTCCTTTATTATAATGAAGCAACTCTATTTATCATCGAGGAATTTAGGTGTATAAAAATCGGAATAAAAGCGCTTCGTACCTTCCTATTAAATGCCCAGTTTCCTGTGTTAATGTATTTATTTTTCGTTACCACCAAGACAGTAAAATTCGTCGTGTCATGAAAGTATTCGTTGTCACCGAGATGAGTTTTGTTGTATTATTTGCTTGCATTCTGTCGACTAGACGCCGGGTTATTTTAAGCTATGGAAGTTTCTTTTTTTTAATATTTCTTAAAGTTCGTTTTTAACAGAAATTATAAAGGTAACATTGCGTCATATTGTTCCGGTAGCTACGCACTACATTGCATTCAATTAGGTTCGTAATTAATTTATTCCGTTTGAAATTGCCAAGGTCAATGGAATGGAAGGAAAATGATGTTTATGTAAACAGAAATATAATTGTCTAAGCTCGTAAAAAATAGATAGATATGAGTCCTTTCAAATGGGTCATGGGTCATGAATATGGGACATGATGGGAAATGGAAAACGTTGGTAAAATAATAAAATCAGAAGATTGGGAAACTTACTTTCTGAG